GCCGGCGGCAACGGCAACAACTAAAACAACCACGGCAATAACAGAATTCGTGATTTTTAGTTAAGTTAAATATATAAAAATTAATTACATAGAGAAAATTATATGTATCATGTATAAATATACAAGAAATATTCTAAAAATATGTAAAAAATATTACGAAGTATCTTATAACATCATAATGTGACTACGAATCGAAAATAAAATTATTAAACAGTCAAATAAGATTTTTAATGCTAAAATTATTATATGTAAATTTATATACTCATATCGGATCCCTCAAACTGCGCGTCGAATTTATTTTCAGTCTTGAGATTCTAACGTATCTAGAGCAATAGTATTAACAAACAATTTAATTATATGTATTGATGCTCATATTCACATTAGTTTGATCTTAATATTCTGATGCTAATAAGCATTCTAAAAAATTTTATTGCTGAAAATATAGCCTCGACCGAGGATCGAACCTAGATCTCATGCATTCCGTGCAAGTGCCCTAAGCCTTTAAACCATCGCCTTAGTAATATTTTTCGCAATAACTTATATGTATGGAAATAAGAATTTAGAAAATATATTTTATAGACATGAGCGTAGCTAGGATTTTAGCGAGGACCTCTAAATTAGATTTTAGATTTTTGAACTCGCGAGGAAGGGGAAATTAGTCGAATGGTATGTACTGTTAAATTTGTTTTACTTTATATTATTTTTAATTAATTACTAACCAATCACTAACAAGGGAAGTTTCACAACTGTCCGGAACCGATTTGATTCTCTATGGAATATGTTGTTAAACATAATGAAAATTTAAGAGACATGTATTTTTTCATACGTGCCCTAACTCTGTTTAAGGGGTAAAACACCCCTTTGGAAAAAAAACGGTATTTTTCTTTCGAAGCGAATATCGTCGGAAGTATAAAAAATAGGCAAAAATTTTTTAAACAGAAGTATGGTTTCAAGAGTACTTTAAAGATATAAAGAAAAAAATGTTTATTTTTTTGTTAAATAAAATACCCCCACCATCAATTTCTAAAATCTTAAATTTTTTATTTTTTCTTTACCAAATTAAAGATTATTTTTTTACAAATTCAATCATGTGTAATAAAGTTTATATTACAATATATCGTTTTCGCGAGAATTAATTATTAACATTTCGGTATTTACACTATCCATGCTCAAATGCGTAAGTAATTGTCGTCGGAACAATAAGATACATAAATTAATGAATAAGGAAATTGACATGATTGATATTTGTAACATTACAAATCATATATGATGTTAATAATGTTTATTATTTCTTCTTAAAGTGAATAAACTTCGTTTTTTATTCATCTGTGTACATTACTTCCTTATTTAACATCTTAAGATTATTCTCCTAAAGTTATATTTTCGATCTTTTGCTTTAATATCTCATTTACTTGTCATTTACGTAATAATTTCTAACGTACTTAATAATGAAATAATTTTTAAATGTTTATATACAATAAATTTACATTATGTATCGTTTACTCATTATACTCATTACAATAATGATACTCGATGAAAAAATGTTTTAAACATAATGACTTCTTGCACCATGAACATTTTACTACCCGAGTAGAAATTCGATCGGGTACGCCCGATGTATAATACGATCAGGTCATGACCAGGAAGTAATAGGGTATGCCCTAGTAGGGAATTCTCCACTTGGGCCTGATCAGGGTACGGTAGAGTACGCCCTAGTATGGCTTTACCGATTTGCGCCTGATCCGATGCAAATCAGGGCACCCTTCTCAATATTTTTTTAAAGTAATTAATCTTACATGGACCTGATTTCTTTGCCCTTACATTATCCTCTAGTCTCGTTAAACCGTCAAGAGTTATAAGTGAGGGACACCGGCTGCTCCGACGAAAATTAAACGCAAAAGAAAGCGCATCGAAAAAGCAAATAAATATTTTTATTTCTTTACGCTTTAAAAAAGAAAAGTTATATTGATACATATGGTATAATATAATAAATAATAATATATACATTATATATAATTTATATATCCTTTCAGATTAATAAAATAATCAATTCATAATATTTCTTGGCATTTTAAATTTTGACACAGTCAAAACTCCTAAAACCTAACCAATACTGAATTTAGAAACATCACCCAAGTGCTTCCGCGTATCATTTTATCCTTGTTGTTCACCGAATGTTAAATAAGGATAAAACGATGTACGGAGATACTAGGGTGATGTTTCCGAACGCAGATCTATAATCTAATCTAACCCTAGCATCAATATCCTACTAGTACCGTACTAGTATCCTAGAAGAACTGCGTTAAAAAATATAAGGCGCAAAAAGGGGCTACTTATAAGGCCCTGATAAGGTCTGCCTGATCAGGCGGAAGACGTTCCGGACGTTACATTAGCCCTCAGGGCCTGATAGGATTTTCTCATCATTGCCTGATCAGGCATCAGGGTACCCTTGTTTGAACCCCTATCAGGACCCGTCTACAATTTCTACTCGGGTTATTTAAATATTCGTGATTTAAAAGTGCCCGAGTAGAAATTGTAAACAGGTCCTGATAGGGTCCAAGAAAGGACATCCTGATGTCTGATCAGGTCCTGAGGGCTAATGTAACGTCCGGAACGTCTTGCGCCTGATCAGGCAGACCTTATCAGGGCCTTATAAGTAGCCCCTTTTTGCGCCTTATGTTTTTAACGCAGTTCTGGTAGGGTACTAGTACGGTACTAGTAGGGTATTGATGCTAGGGTTAAATTAGGTTATAGATCTGCGTTCGCGGAAACATCACCCTAGTGTCTCCGTATATCGTTTTATCCTTATTTAACATTCGGTGAACAACAAGGATAAAATGATACGCGGAAGCACTTGGATGATGTTTCTAAATTCAGTATTGGTTAGGTTTTAGGAGTTTTGACTGTGTCAAAATTTAAAATGCCAAGAAATATTACACGGAGAGAATTTTTCGTTATTTTTTACCGCAAAATTCATTACAAATTTCATCATGTTTGGTAATAAACTTGGGACAACTTGACAATAATGAAATATTATCAATAACGATAGATTTTTTGAAATATACAAGAGACTTTTTATAAATGATGTAGTAAAAATTATAATGCAGATTGTAAAATGTTTTGAAGTGAGTAAGTTCTAGCGTAGTTAGAGACACATTCGACAACGAAAATAACCGATAAATATCGATTACAGTCGATCAATTACTATGTTACATGGTAAAATTATAAGCGACTAAATCAGATTTAAAATATCATGCTGTATGGTAAAAATTGTATAAGCTATTTTATATATTCATGATTACTTAGCATCTATTCTTTTAAAATAATAAAGAATCATAAACTGCGTAACATATTTTAAAATGTTGAAATTTTACTA